CTTACACTAGTAAAGAGTATAACTGATGAGAAAAAAAGCATGCTGAAAACAAACAAAACCCTCTGCTAGATTGCGTGCTCCATTCAGGCATCAGGGTTTTGTTTTTTGTTGTTGTTGTTTTTTGTCTCTTTAATTAGGAATAAGCATAGAAGGAAGGAAAATATCCAGTTTTCTGTATTATTTTTAAATTATTTTGGGGGTATTATAAATGAATGCAGACAGGATATTTTCATTCTATGACAGCCTAGATAGTAACTATGTAGCCAGTAAGCTAAGTACTTCTTAATAGATAAATGAAAAACAAAATTGGGAAACAAACTCGTCTTGTATTTGGTTTCACCACCTTCATAGGCCACTATCCAATGTACTTTTAGATGATCACATTATGCTTTCTTATGTACAAAAGTCTAGTTTAATTCCTGTGTCTAAGATCTTTGTTGAAAAGGAAAGCAAAGTAAAATCAACATGTTTATTTTACTTTCCTTTTAAATTGTGATAATAATAGCAGAAGTAATCACAGGTCCTGCAGCCATGGTTACACATTGTCAGGTGACATCAATGTGTTCCTCTTTGCTCCAGATGTAGGCATTGGTCTATATTTATTTCCTAGTCTACAGCTGTTGCTGTTCGGGATCCCTAATGTGTATTTCCATGCTGTGGATTTGTTAGGGTGTTATTCATAGGGAAGCAGCACCATCTATTGCAACTTGAAAACTTAGCTCTAGACAATATCAAGAACAGGGCTGGCCTGAGTTTAGCTTGAAACGACTGCACTTATCTTTAAAAGCTTCTTTTCCTTCCCTCACTAGCTACAAATTGTATTCTTATTATGGTTTGTATCTCATAAGGTACAGGGACAGGGGTGTGTGACATGTGTTCATGATAAAAATATACATCTAAGAGAAGAACAAACCAATTTATGAACTAAGAAAATAATAGCCTTTGCCTAATCCTGAGTGGCTGTTTCTTTATTACTTGGCTGGACTGTTCTTTTTTGAAGTGAGAAGATAGTAAAAAGTTAAAAGTGTGTTTAATGCAGATGAGAGTGTCGCAAAATTTGCTTTCAGAAGCAGTGTTAATGTAGATGTGCAGTTCAGTATGTTCTTCTAATAATGACAGTGCTATTGTCATCCATCTATACTTCTGATTCTTCTCTTTTTCCAGACTGTCTACAAAGCCTGGCTCTGTTCCCAGTATTTTGAAGTCACACAGTTTCACTGCAGCAACAGAATTCCTTGCAAGCAATACTGTTTGGAGGTTCAAACAAGGTGTCCCTTTATATTACCAGACAATGATGATGTCATCTATGGAGGACTATCAAGTTTCATCTGTACAGGTATAGTATAAAAAAGCTAATTTCACTTTTTTTCATAAATCTAAATGTGAAGGAGAGTTTGAATATGTTTCCTCCTATCATTTCAATTATGAGAAACTGAAGGTATTCCTCGTAACAAAGACATCTCTGAGGTCCTAGGATTTGAGCCCAGATTTAATATGCACATTTGTGTTTCAGCTTGCCACAGTCATTACCTTTATAAAACAATATTATTAGAATAAATCGGTTATGGTTATTTTTTTGTGCTGTGCAATTTCATTGATGATACTTGTAGCTCTGTTTAATGTAAGAGTCAGAAAAAAACTCTGTTACAAAATACTCAGAAAAAAAGAGAAATATGAGATCAGTTTTTACTATTTTCAACTTTCTTCACCCATATTCCTATGTCAGATGAACAAAGGATCTGAGATACAATAATCAGAAATGTGCAGTAGCTCTTGGATGGTAAATATCTTAGGAAAGGCTTTTCTCTAGTGAAGAATTTTAAGAATCAGAGCTTTCTCCTTAAAGCACTAATCTTTTGGTTTCTTCTTGACTAGTTAGATTCTGGGAACATTTTAATTTTAAAAAATCATTGTTAATGTAAGTCTATAGATCATTTAATAAATCTTTTTTTTTTTTTCCTTTGACATTCCTTTGACATTCCTTTGACATTCCTTTGACATTCCAGAGAAAATTTGATAGGTAACAAGCAGGTATATCACAGGTGCATCAGATTTACTTACTTACTTACTTACTTACTTATTTATTTATTTATTTATTTATTTATTTATTTAATCAGACTTGATCCATCACACTGAATTTCATCTTATATCAGTATCATCTGTATATTTCTGGTGCTAATAGTATCAACTGAGAATTCAGAATCTATTCAGGCATCTTATTCCCAGTAAATCAATCAAAAGACTTTTGGCAATAAAATCATTTGACATCTTGGTCTAAATACCTACAAATAGACAGAATTAACTTTAAATTAGGGCTGCAGTGCAAAGCTTGATACACATTCAATGTACATTAATAACAGCACGGTCAACTGATCAAAAGATTTGATTCTCTCACTGTATTTATTGGTAGTGTTGCTTCAATTTGAATATCTTGTGCAGTTCTGTGCCAAAAAAGAAAAAAAAAAAAAATTATTAGTATACTTTAAAACATCCAGAAGAAGACAACAAAGATAGCTGAAAGGCTGGAATTTATGTTCTGTGAAGAGAGGCTGAGAATACTTGGGTTGTCTGGTCCAGAGAAGAATGAGAGATGACCTCATTTGTCTGTGTGGCACTCTGAGGAGTGGAAGCATAGAGTGATATGTTGGGCTTTTCTTCCTGATCACTAATGTAGCAGAACGTATGGAAACAGCACAGAGCCTCACCAGAGGAGGTTCAGATTAGATATTAAGATAAAATTCTTTACTGTGAGAGTGGTCAAACACTGGAACAAGCTTCCTAGAGATGTGGTTGATGCTCCATCAGTTTCCAAGTGGCACTTGCACAGTGGCCTCAATAACATGCTTTAACTGGTTAGCCCTTCAGTCAGCCCTAGCAGTTGGTCTAAATGAAGATCTCTTCCAACTTTGTACAGACTAAGCTCACAGTAATAGTTTGTTTAGCTTACAGAGTTTATAGCTGCAGGCTTATTGCTTAGA